GTTTTTTTCTTTGTATATTCCCATGTTTTTGTAAAGTGGTAGCATGTTTAAAGAAAAGAAACTTCACGGTTCTCCTTGCTTCAGTAGAAGTCCTGTACATTAGGAAATCTTGGGAACAGAGCATGGCACTGGTGTATTTTGGTGGTGAGTTTTAGATATATGTGCGGCGTGCTTGTCAGCAGCCACTTTGTTGGTTAAACTTGCCTTCGATTTTTGTTTCTCTGGCTCAGGACATCAAATAGTTCCCACACCTAGCTTCTTCATCTAGTTCAATGATAACCTAACCACTAAAATCATTAATTACAAAATATATCATATCTTTAGTACAAAGCTCAGTGAATTCTGGAAGATTTGACTAAAGTACTGAGTTTTTTAGTTGGTGATCTCTTTCATGTATATTATGTAAATTTATTTCACTATAGCTCTTTGAGATCTGATGCCCTCTTCTGGCTTCTGAAGGCACTGCATCCATGAACAAATACCAACACATGTAGATACAGAAATAAAAACGAAATTAAAATCTTTTAAAAGTAAATAAACACCACTGTGTTGCAGAATGACTACCCAATGAGTGATAAATACTGAAGATTTTCATCTGTTCACTTATTTGGGGAAAATAATTATTATTTACTATTTATAAGTTTATAATACAATGAGAGGTAAAAATCTTTTAAATTGTCTTTTATAGGTTTTTTGTTTTGTTTTACTGTCATATTTTTGTAAATATCAGATAAACAATCACCTGTTACCTCAATCAGAGTATATTTTTATTTATTATTATTTTATAAAATTTTAATTTCCTATTATTTCCTATTCACATGTGCAGCACACATGTTTGGTTCTCTTTTTCCACTGTGGGGTTTTCAGATGGAACTTGGGTCTTCATATTCCCAGGATAAGTACTTTTAACCAACTGAGACCTATAACAAGCCCCCGAGTCTTCATAGCAATTGTTTTTATTCCTTTTCTGATACCTCTCATTATCTGAAATCTTAATGTGTCTAGAATAAACACTTCCCAGAGATAAGACTTTATTCTACACAACCTTTCTTTAAAAAAAGAATGTCACTTTCTAGCATTTCACACAATTTCTCTATGCTTATTTTTGTACAAAGAGCTTTGATTTGTCACAACGTTTATAGTGATATCCTCTTTGGATCAGTGAAGGCTGCCTTCCAGTGATCTCATGAAATGGGAAGTAGCACACTTGACTTAGACTCTGAAGGCATAGTTCAATGAAACTTCATTTTCCACTATTTTTAAATACTTCAATACCAAGATGACATTCCAGTTTACACTTCCCTTCTCTAGTCTTTTACTTCTCTATAATTTCTGAGATATAATCTTGCCTTTCATATACTACCAACCAATGGCTAGCTCCACACTTCACTAACTACCAATCAATGACCACTGTGTGTTCTACATACCTGACACGACCATCACTTTAATGGCTGAGTCATCTCCTCAATCCAGACCCTCTTAGATTATTTGGATGAAATCACTATAGCTACAAGGGTCTAATAAAGAGGTATAGAAGAGAATCATAGGTTGAAGTGAATATGAAAAAAGGGCACAGAGAAATGCAACGACATGGTTTATCATGAAGAGTGGTAAAGGAGGCTAGGCATGAGTGAAGGCTACAGGAGCTGGACATGGGAGAGAAACATCATTTCCCCTAAAGGATCCAGAAGAATCCTGACCAAACTGACACCTTGATTTTAAGCCCAGTTGGCACTGCCAGGCTACCAACTATATGATATGGAAATATAGAATATATATATATATATATATATATATATATATATATATATATATATATATGATAAGATAAAAGGATGGATTGTTGAACCTACTTTTAAAGAGCAACTTGTTTAAAATGTTTTACATTGGTATAGATTCTAGTTTTTGATACAAATTTAAAGTTAATTTTGTTATACTGTATGTATATTTCTACTCTCGTTTAAGGTATTATGATTATGTAACTCATTTCAATTTTAACAGATAATTAAGAAATATAGATTAATAATTAGTCTTCTATGATAGGCAAACTTACAGTCATGTTAAGTTTTCTAGGTATACATAGATATAATTCAATTAGGTAAGTAATTTTCAAACATTTCAAAGACCTACAGAATATGGCATTTAAAATGTTTTAAAAACTTAGACTTTCTGGACAATGAGACATGTCTGCTCCTGGCAGCACCGATTTACTTCAGAGAGGAGGATGAGCATCAAAGACACTCCATATGGAGTTTATCTTCTTCTTGGCAAAAATAGCAATTTGGGCAAGAAACTGTTCTTGCCTAGACTGCTTGAGAAAATGTTATATCGACTGGACATGCAGGACCCATAACAAAGTGACCACTGAACTTTGCAAGGCAAGATGATCTTTGATGTTCCTGCTTCACAGAAGAAGCTGCCAGACATTTTACAGGACACAGAGAGAAGCGACTGAGAGACCTGTAGGCTGAAGAATGGATGCCCCAACATTACAGAACTTTGGGTGACTGTCCAGGCAGCCAGCTGTCTCTGTCATTCTAGATTTTTAGAAGTTGCTTACAATGCATTTCCTGTTTACTTAGGTAATATTATATCCTTCTAGAGTCTTTGATGTAGTTGAAGACTAGATAGTTATAATTTTCTTTAGTTATGATGAAAGATAAGTTAGATATGAAATCTTAGACTCACAAATATAGGATAGATAGCATATTTTCTTTAATTTTGCCAAATATAAGTATACTAGATATTGTAACTATTATTCTTGTTTGATAACTGTTTTGTTATATATAATTTTACTATGTTAAAACCTTCCTTTTAGCCAGGCGTTAGTGGTGCAGGCCTTTAATCCCAGCACTCGGGAGGCAGAGCCAGCGGATCTCTGTGAGTTCGAGGCCAGCCTGGGCTACCAAGTGAGTTCCAGGAAAAGGCGCAAAGCTACACAGAGAAACCCTGTCTCGAAAAACCAAAAAAAAACAAACAAACAAACAAACAAACAAACAAAAAAACCTTCCTTTTAAATAGAAAGAAAAGGGGAAATGATGGGAATGTCATTCTGTATGCTGTGAATATGTTGCTCTGATTGATTGATAAATAAAATGCTGATTGGCCAGTTGCCAGGCAGGAAGTATAGGCAGAATAAGCAGACAATGAGAATTCTGGGAAGAGGAAGAAGGCTGAGTGAGGAGACACCAGCCTGCCATCCAGGGAGCAGCATGTAATAGCACTCAGGTAAAGCTATGGAACATGTGGCAGCATATAGATTAACAGAAATGGGCTGAGTTTAAATATAAGAGGTAATCAGTGGTAGGCCTAAGCTAATGGCCAACCAGTTTTAATTAATATAATCTTCTGAGGGATTATTTTATAAGCAGCTATGAGGTCTGTGGGGCTTGGCAGGACTAGAGAAAACTTTCAGCTACAACCACCCTACAGAGATGAAAGATAATGAATTTATGTTTTTAGCAATTTAAGTTATTTAAACTTTCAGTAGTGTGTTATTCTGGCCACATGAAGTAATGTGTCATTACTGGTTTTGCATGTAAGAAAAGACAAGTGGCAAGCTCTTTTTTTATGTGTATGTTGAAGGGAAATAGTAAGATGAGAACAAAAATCATTGGGGCTAGAGAGATGGTGCTACACTTGTTGCTCTTCCAGAGGACCTTAATTTGGTTCCCAGCACCCACAAAGCTAATTCTTGCTTCAGGGAATCTGATACCCTCTTTTGTCCTCTACACACACCCACACACAAATAAATGTGTGCAAATGCACAAGCACACACACACACACACACACACATGGGAAGTGGAATCTGAATAAACCTTTTTTAAAGAAAATAATTAGAGGAGAAATAGGAGGGTAAGAATTACTAAGAACTATTAACATCTCATTTTCTACAATATTGTCCTCACATCTTTTCCTTAATACTGTCAGCATAATGTATTCTTAGCGTTCAAGGAAGACACCATTTGACCATTTATGAATAAAAATAAAATTATAATATATGCTGGTAGATAAGGAAATCCCTGCCCCTCTTCTAGAAACTAAAAGGCTTATCATAATAAAATAACCAGTTGAGCCATCTAGTTATGTTGAAACTATTATACCTTAAGAAAAATACTATTCATTATGCATTGCTGTTTTATGTAATTGCACCATAGCAATTTGTTCAAATGACCCCTTTTAAGAAAAGGAATGAGATATCTTGAAGTAAATGAGACATTTGATCTTGCTGTGAATCCCAAATGATTGCATCCTCATCATTTATAAAGTCTAAAATATACTCTAGGAATTTGAATATGTTCATAGGCAAAAAGCCATCCTCCCAATTAGTGCCCAATCAGTACGATGAAGAGAAGTGATGTAGGTAGAGATGTTTACTCTCTCAGTCTATTCAGCTGCCTTGAGACAACAAGCATGATACATCTCTTAGAGACATACTTTCATTTTTAATCCCTTTGTTTCTTTTTTATTATTTTTCCCTTGATACAATTGTGAATCAAATGTTGTAATAAGCATTGTGATTTGCTTGCATTAAATACCTTAATCTATAGATATATAATGATGAGGACAGAGATACAAATTCTTTCAAATATATATCATTTGATTAGAGTATAATACAGCTACATTACCCTTTCTACAGTTCAAAAAATATATGAAATAAAAATTTTGAAGCTTGAAACAATTTTATATCAAAGCAGAGAAAGTCACAGCCCTTTTCTATGAGAAATAGTTGAATCATGTGGTGATTCCTGCAGTAAATGTGCAGTTGAGATGAGAAAGAGTGATATGTATAGTTTCTTATTCAAAGAATAACAAGGAAGTTTCAGTCATTTTAGTTAATGCCTGCAGTAAATGTGAGTTGAAACAAGGAAGAGAGATATGTATGGTTTCCTTATTCAGAGAATAACAAGGAAGTTTTGGTCATTTTAGCTAATGGTCAAGGAAAACACGTAGAGTATTTGAAAAAAACTAAGACCTGTGGTTCTTTTCATTTACTGCAGAGCCTCTTGGGTTGGATCCAGAAGTTGCTAAAGCAAACACCTTGGGTTTTGTTGGATGCCTTTCTTCAGTCCAATACAACCACATAGCCCCATTGAAGGCAGCCCTCCGCCATGCCAGCATTGCACCTGTGACTGTCCAAGGGACCTTGACAGAATCCAACTGTGGCTCCATGGTGGACTCTGATATGAAGGCAGTGACCACTGTGCATTCTTCATCAGGTACTTCCCAGAGGATGCTCTCTTTAGTTTTCATCACTAATAACACTTCTTCTGTCTTACAGACCTAAATGTTTGACCAATAGGTCTCAGCTCGTTACCTTGCATAGGTGGTTACAAACTGTAACTGGCTTCTCATGGGTCATATCTACGTTCACAATACACTCTGACAGAAGCAAGTTAAGGGAGGAAAAATTTATTCTGCTTCACAGTTCAAGAATCCAGTTCATCATAATAGGGAATCAAGATAAGAGTTTGACATAGTTGGTCATGTCACATACACAATCAGGAATCAGAGCATGATGGACTCATGCCAGTATTCAGATCATTCCTTATTTATACAGTCCAGGATCCCATCCAGAGAGTTGTGCCAACCACAGTAGGTAGCTCTTCTCACCTCAGTTAAGAAATCAAGATAATCCTGCAAGCATACTCAGGAGCCTGTATCTCAGGTGATTCTAGATACTTTCAAAAAATTTGACAGTTAACACTAACCATCACACTAACAGTGGTGAAATGAAATAAACAAAAGAAGGATACAAATACTAGAATACTAACTACTTTAATTAATAGTACATTTTAAATATGAAATTTAACAATATATCTTATGCATTTAGCTGGAAATTAATAATTAAGAAATTAACAATTAAAATTAACTAACATATATTTAATATAATAAATATATATTTAAGGTGATGAGTAGTATTAATTAATGTGTAGTTCCATGTAGTACATATAATGCCCATAGACATAATATGTATGTGAATTAGTACATCACTATTATTTAAGTAGAAACTGATGTGAGGATTAAAGTATTTAGGGGGCATGAAAACATCAGAATGGCGACTTAGATAATATTAAATTCAATATTAGGCTCTAGCATTTTGGAGGAAGAAGTAACAAAATTATAGACAAATAAAGTATAAAATGTGATAAAAATGTATATGTATTATATGATGATTGTTTTTATTAAATTAGTAGGAAGGGATTAGAAGGAAGGCTTAGTGGCTAAAATGCTTGTTGTACAATCATGAGGTCCCAAGTTCAATTCCCAGCAACCAGATAAAAAGCTGGTTATGGCAGTGGGTGCTTGTAACACAGTGCATGGGCAAAAACAAGAGATAACTGGGGCTTCCCAAACAGACAACCTCTCTGAATTAGCGACCTCCAGATTCAGCCAAAGACATAGCCTCAAAAATTGCCAATAAAAATGATTGAAAAAAAATCAGGAATAAATCTTTTGCCTCCACAATGGCCCTCATGGAATAACATACCATACGATACACATGCATCATTCACATAAATAAATAAATAAATAAATAAATAAATAAATACATACATACATACATACATACATACATACATACAAAATTACATAAGTACATATACTGCACATAATCATTTTACCTAGTTATACTGTATGTGTTTAGTTATTTGATAAGGACATTTGACCATAAAAACATATTTGTTCATTTTATGATTTTGTTTATTCATGGCAAAATTTGTATTCTTTAACCAATAAAGCCCAAGCTACTGTCAAGTGTCATTGTGTACTGCTATTAGTTTTGTTTCTGTCTTTCTTTTTTAGATTCTGAATATTAGTGAAAACATACATTCCTTTTCTTTATTACGGCTGACTTATTCCATTGAAGGGGATGTTTTCATCCACATTCTTTTTAAGTGAAGAGTCCAACTCTTTGTGATTGAGTAATATTCTAGTGTGTGTTTGTGTGAGTATGTGTATGTATGCATATGTGGGTTTGTATAAGTATGAGTGTATTTCCATGTGAGTAGAAGCACAGTTTATTTTCATACTCATCCATTGATACTTAAGTTGCTTCCATATCTTGCTATTATGAATAATACTAAAAAGATCATGGATTATAGACAGCTGTAGGAATCACAGTCGCTGACTTCACATTACATTGGAAAAGCATAATAATGAAAATTATGTAGTACTGTCATAGAAACAGATATAAAGACAAAGGCAATGGATTAGAGATCACAGAAGTAACATAGGCATATGTGATCAGCTCAAGTTAGACAAGCATTGGGGAAAGGACAGTCTCTTTATAAGGGACTTAGGGTTAGCTAGCTACAAGAAAATCATGCAATTGGAAATTTCTTACTCTATAAAAATACTTGACATGAAAATCATTAATTGGTTTATAAGTCTTGAAATTAGAATTTGCAGAAAGATAACTACAGAAAAATATCCTTGATATTACTCTTGAAAATGCTGTTGATATGACTAAATGCATATAGTGAAAGCAAAAGTGAGTGAGTAAAACGAAGTTTAGAACTGGCTCAGCACAGCAAATGAAATGATCAGCAAAATGAAAAAAAATCTGTGGGCTGTGAGGGAAGATTTGTGGACTCTATCTCCTCATAGTCAATTCTCAAGAAATATTAATTGATTTAACTCAGCAGCCAGAAAACAAATAACCTGATTAAAATTAGACAAAGCATCCAAATATACATTTTTCCAAAGGTACATAAAAATGACCAATAGAAAAGTGCCACATGAAAAGTGTGGCCATATGAAAACTTCCAACACCATCAATCATTAGGGATGGCAAAGTCTGTGGCAATGAAATGTTTCTTTATCACTCTCAGGGTGGCGCTTATCCAAAGGCAAGGGGTGGAAGTTAGAAAGAAGATTCATTACCGATAGTTCTCAAGAAAAGAGAAATATCTGTGTATGTGTGTGTGCACTTACTATTGCACATGTATCATCCATTTATCACATATCCATTTATCATCTCTCTCTCTCTCTCTCTCTCTCTCTCTCTCTCTCTCTCTCTCTCTATCTCTATCTCTATCTCTATCTCTCTATCTATCATCTAACTGATCTACATAAAGAAGCATAGGGGCTAGCCAGCACAATGAAAGGGATTGGGGGAAATGGGGCTTGAGGACTTGATTGTGTCCTCTGTTAGAAGGAAGTGAGGCCAGGCAGGAAGCTTGAGCCCTTTAGAGCTGGATCTGTTGAGTAACTTTGAGCAAACCTGTGCTATGGAGATTACTTCTAGCTGTCCCAGAATGGTCTCTGGTGTTTGATGAAGAGGCACACTGAGTTGATGAGTGTGAGTCAAATAGCAGGGTGGTTGGGGATGAAGGCTATGAACTGATTGGTTTGTGTGTGTGAAAGGCATACTGTGTGTAAAGCACGTACTATCCCTGGAATTAATTAGCCTAGCACTGTGTGACACTATTCCTGAGGAGATGTGAAAAAAAACATCTGTTAACTTCAGACAGAGAACTGATGACAGACCAAAACTAGGAGACCCCCAAATTCCAATATGATGAACGAGTGAGCTTTGTTGGGGCCATTTACATCACCCAGGACTAAGGGTGATGGGTCACTCACAGGAATAGAAACAACTCAAAGACAGCTTTATCTCCAAAGCCTATCCCAGCATGGGAGATAGCTCATATAGGCTGAAACTCTAGAGCACACTGCAGAACTTGTAGGCAGCTCAATAGGTCAGAGAGTACCTCTTGCAGGCAGCCTTAATCTCTGTTCCTTCCAGGCACCTCTGATGGTCTGAGAACCTTCCAGGCAGCTTGACTGATATGAGAGTGTCTCTAATCAGACTTTACTGCCTACATAAGCTTGACTACTACATCTAGTCAGCTTCAGGGACTTATGGGAGTTGCTGGGTTGTTTACTTGCTGAGTCTTAAGGAACCTCCCTTTAGAACACCCTCAGTCTTAACTCCCCTGCAGGGAGATTGTATCACCTCCAAGAAAGTTGTTTCACACCCGGGAAAGATGTCCATACCCTGGCCATCAAGGTCTCCAACTGAGTCATAAAATTCAGGAAAAAAAAGTTTTAAATTATTAGTTTGCATCATTAACTCTGATGTATCAGTATTCAGCTACAGACTGATATCATATATAGAAAAAGGAACAACAGAGTCTTGGTTCAAATTGTTCTTTGAAACTCTCAGTTGGCAGAAGACCTTTCTCAAAGGAAATGTGTAAGTATTGTTACATATCTTTTGGTGAGTTCTAGCATATTTGGTACTGGGTGAAAATTCACCTTTGCTTAGTTATCAAGCAATGTCTAGTATTATATTTAAAAATGGGAGTCCTTATATGATGCAAATATGCAAATGTATATATACACATATAGTATTAAATTATTGACAAAGATATGGTACTAGATAAGTAGATAGACAGATAAATGGTCCATAGATGGATGGTAGACGTCATGTGGATCCACATACCTGGATGTGTTTATGCATCTAGGCTATGGCATTTATTTTTGAAGGAGGGAGAATTAAAGCCAAGATTGATTTTAAAATTTAATATTCAATGTTGATCAGTTCTAAAAAGGAGACACTCTTGAAATATGTCATCACTGTGATAAGAGTTACTTTGCAGAACCTGATCACCAACCATACTATTGAAAATGTTACCTTAGATCTGAAATGTTTTCTCTGTAGCATTAGTAAACACTAGAGAATTAGAATTAATTAAGTAAATTAATATGTATTAACCTATCAACATCAAAACATGTTAGAAATGGAGAAATCTGGGTTAACATCAGAACTATGTTAAAAGTAGTACATGGACTAAATAAAGTTGGAACCAGTATGAACTGTGGAGAAAAAGGAATGCTATTAGCTGTAGACAGTTAAGATTCGAGTATTCATGGAGAAGCAGGAGGAATTCCAGGAAGGAAGCTTGACACAGAAGTATGCCAGAGTAAGGAGGCTGTAAGGTCACAGGAGGTAGAACACCTAAAAGTTTGCCGTGCCCCCCACCACTTACTGCTCTCCCTTCCTGACTCCTTCCTACCTTCCTGCTTCTCTCTCTGCCTTGCTACCTCCCTTCCTGCCTTCCTGTCAGTCTCCCTACCAGTCTCATTTTCTCTCTGTCTCTCTGTCTCTCTGTCTCTGTCTCTCTCTCTCTCTCTGTCTCCCTCTCTCTCTGTCTCTGTCTCTGTCTCTCTGTCTCTGTCTCTGTCTCTGTCTCTCTCCCTAGTTCTTCCCTCCCATTTGCCCTCTGTCTCATTCTGAATCCCTGTGGCCCAGACTCCCCTCTTTTTTTGTTTTAATTTTTTAATTTTTATTTTGCAATACAATTCAGTTCTACATATCAGCCATGGATTCCCTTGTTCTCCCCCCTCCTGCCCCCCTCACCTTCCTCCCAGCCCACCCCCCATTCCCACCTCCTCCAGGGCAAAGCCCCCCACAGACTCCCCTCTTAAGTTTTCCTGCCGCCTTCTATTTAGCCCCCTCTATCTCCTTTCCTAGTGAAGTGAGGCCTGCAAGGCCTCTCCTCTCTCCCAGACCCTGGATTAGGCACAAAAGACACCCAAACACCTGTTTTCACCGGAGTAATCCTTTATTAAGTGGTAAAGTGTTGTGGGCCATCCCCTACCCCCACATTTCCCCAGAGTACTCTTGAGTAGAAGCAGCAGGAAATATTAGTTAGAAAGATAGAGGGGAGAGAAAAAGATCGAAAATACAGGATAGCTTCCAGAGGGCCTGGATCCTAACCCATCGGGCCCCGATGATCTCTGCCAAGGGGTTTTTATAGGAATGCCAAGGGGTGGAGAACAAGACCTCCCCCCAGCACAGCCAAGTGCAGACCATCTCAGACACCTGCACTCAGGCCCATGGTCCAATCATCCTCTCTATGCAGACCTGCTGGGCAAAGCTACTGGGAAACCTGTACAGGCTGCAACAGTGAAGAAAAACATGGCTGCTTTCTGACTCAGGCAGCAAAACACCAAAAAATGGCCTTAAGGAAAGAAAAGGGGGAGGTCTGGGCTAGAATGGCCTAGGATGTGGTGGTATATTTTGACTGACCATGTAAATGAGGTGAACTGAAGGGGGCTTTCGATTCCTGGACTTTGATAATCATCCTCAGGAATGAGTCTGGCATAAGACAATGTCCAAATAAGGTAATAGACCTTGGTGGCTAGCTTTTGGGATGTAATCTATGGTTTACAAGGGAGAGGAAAGGGGGAAGGGCAAAGCCTGGCAGAGCCATGTTACCAGGCCCAGGCCTGGGAGGGTCCTTCAACTATCCTCCTCTTCATTCTTTACTTCTGGCCCTCACTATATCTTTCTCTGTCCTTTTCCTCCATTCACCCTTTCCTTTCTCCATCCCTGTCTCCCTCACTTCAAGGCTTCCTATCTCTCTTTTCTCTTTTGCTCTCATTGTTTTTCTTCCCCTGCCTCCCATCCTCTATGACATGGCAAGTTCACGGTCACCTTCCACTATAAAGCAAGTTAAAGCCCAGCCTGCGGTATATGAGACCCTGTCTCAAAAGAAAAATAAATTGGGCTATAGCAATGGCTTAGAGGTTAAGAGTAGACCCTGGACAGCTGCTCTTCTGGTGAGGGATGCTCTGAGGTGTAAATTCTTCCAGTGCTTTGGCCGTCCTTGTCAGTAGACTCGGGTCCTCATGCAGCTGAAGAGGACACTGAGGCACAGGGCAAAGTGTGCTTCAAGTAAAAGGCAGCTGTCATTCCTAGGAATTCTCCAGCAAGGCAGAGAAGGATGAGGGGTGACTAAAGGAAAGTGCATGGGCCAGGCACCACCCTCACTAGCTCAAAGCTTCTCATAACTTCCTTAGAATCTAATGAGGACATGAATTATGGGTTTTATGCAGGACGTTTTATTCATCTTTAAAAATTTATGAAGTGTGTGCATGCACATGTCATGAAGTGTGTAGAGGTGAGAGGACAGGGTTTTGAGTGGCGGGTCTCTTCTTCACCTTGTTTCAGAGGCACAGGCTCCCTTGCATCTACACCTGATCTGCATATGTGACCAGCTACTCCCTCACTGGGATTACAGATTGGAGCCTCAGAATTCAGCTTTTAATGTGGGCTCTGGAGTTCAACTCAGCTCATCATTTTAAATGCCATTTATTTAGGTTCCTTTCAAAATGCCAGTTCATATCTCACTGCAGGAATCTTGTTACACTGCACAGTTGTACACTGAGTATGTTCTCCCTGTCATTGAATGAAGAGCAAAATTTACATTTTGGTCTTTTCTTCTGTCTAGATCCCTTTGGAAAGACAGATGAGCGTGAACCACTCACAAATGCAGTCCGGAGTGACTCCGCAGTCATTGGAGGTAACCTGTCTTCATTACTGAAAGCAGGAAAGATATCTATGATCCTGTGCTCTGCAGAAAAGTACCTGAAGCTTTCCTTACCCATGATCATCTAGCACCCAGAACCAGGCATTGTCTGTCAAGCTCTTAGTCTCTTTATGCATGCTGAAAGATTAATAGCAGGCTCTCCTCCAGCGGCAGCAGCTCTGTGGCTTCATTCCTCCTCAAATTCAGCAGGCAGCTGAACTCAGCCAACAGCTGGAGCATTTACTCGCTGACAGGCAACCTGCACCTTCTTCATTGCATCCAGTTGTCACTTCTAAAGCACAAACAAAACAGACCAATAAAATTGCATATGGGAAGAAGTCACAGTGGGGCAGACGGATGGATGGAGCTGCAGTCATTTTCAGTTTTCCTTTACGGAGTGATTTGGGTTAGATCTAATGAGCAGGGTGACGCCCACATGACTAAAGTTCCAAATCCAGCAGCCCATCTGGTTATGGGTGGAAAGTTCGCCTGCTCTGCTTATAGCTCATCTCCCACCACCTTCCCTTGCTTTACAGTTCTTGAGCTATGTGTTGGTCTCACCCTGCTTCACTCTCTATTCTGTCTTAGCTTGTCTAATGCCTGCAGGATTTTGATGTTCCCATCTGGGTCTTGCAACATGGAATGACTCCCAAGTTTTGTTTAATGTAAGATGCTTGGGATATGGAAATCCATTTCCATTGGTGATTTATAGCCATGGCATAGGGTGCCTCATTCCTGCCTTCTGGCAGCTGGGATGAATGAATCCACACCAGATGGAGTTCTTTAAAAGTCAGCAGGAGTCATTCATTTTACTTCTATTTAATTAGCTCCATTTCTGGGTCAGACCTGAACTAAACATAGAGATACAGGATGAGAGATATAGTTACTGCTTTCCTAGAATGAGCAGACTGGGTAAGAAGGAGATAGGCAAGCAGGCAGCAGTAACAGCACAGAAGATGGTTCCAAAGAAGAATGGGAACAAGAGGACTCTACCACAGTAGCATCCGAGAGCAGGAAAACCATGACTTTTCCTTAGGGAAATACTTAAGACATCCATGTGAGCTGAATGCCTTCTCCAGGGAAGAGAACTGAACCTGATTTTTCTTTTAAATCAGTACATGTAACAGAGAATTTTATAACTCTCTCTTCCTGTAAGTTTTCATTTGATGAGGAAAGACTGTAGGTTCTGGCCTTCTCCACTCATTGGCAAGCTCCATTGAGTCTTTCTAAGAATGGGAAGGTTATCACAGCCCCACAGGAGATCCTGGGAAGCTTGCCCAGCTTCCAGCCTGCAATAACTCCTTCAACCCAGCAGTAGAAAACAGGCAACCTCTGCCACAATGTAAACCTCTAGTTCATGCTTCAGATTCTTTCATTGCCACCCAGACTATCAACTTTGGTATATTATTTTGCCTTGTTCTAAAATAGTTGGGAAACATGTTACACAATGATCTTAGAATAGATGACGAAAGTAAGTGGTCTTAGTTATGGTCACAACTTTTAAAAATTTGGTGCAAGATAGGTCTATATATTTAACTTTCTGATATCTACTCATATAAATAGTAATTAACAATAACCAACAACTTAGAAAATATGAAATGTGCAAATATGTAAACTTTATCATAAACAAAATTATTTTTAGTGACCAAAACTTAAGTGTTTTACCACTATTAATTATTAATTTTGTGTGCATACTGTTTGTTGCTTAGTGACTCGATTTTTTTTTGTTTATTTATTTTGAAATAAGGTCTCACAATATATCCCAGAATGGAGAAATGGCAGAGAACGCAAGAGAAATCTTGCATCAAAACAAGTGGAAGGCGAGAACAGACTCCTAAGTTGTTCTTTGACATCTACACAAGTGCTATGGCAGCCACGCACCTACACACACACACGCACACACACGCACACACATACACACACACACACACGCACGCACACACACATGCACACACACGCATACACATACACACACACCTACACACACATGCACACACACACACACACACACACGCACACACACACATACACACATGCACACGCACACACACACACATACACACACGCACACATACACACACACACACACACACACACACACACACACACACACACACACACACCTGGGTGGTGGTGGTGGCATTTAGATCAAGGAATTCTTGGCAAGGCTTAGTGTATTTTGAATCTCGGAAGTCTGGATTTGATCCCTAGCAACGAAAGCAAAACAACTCAGAAACCACACAGACCCTTTGTTGTTCTAACTCATAACTTTCTAGGAGAAACAGGCTTTCTTCCTCATTACTCTGCTTGCAGGAGGTTTTGTTGAAACTGCAGGTCAAGGGTTTCTCAGCAGGTCTTTATTTCTGCATACAGAGGAGATCTGTGTTTGTGTGTTTGCTTTTTTCCTCCAAAGTATGTGCCTGTCTAGACTGAATTTTCTCAGTAACAGCTTTCTTCTCTGTCCCCCTCTTTTCCCTACAGGTGTCATAGCAGTGGTGACGTTTATCACCTTTTGTATCATCGGCATCATGACCCGCTTCCTCTATCAGCATAAGCAGTCACACCGCACCAATCAGATGAAGGAGAAGGAATACCCAGAGAACTTGGACAGTTCCTTTAGAAATGACATTGACTTGCAAAACACAACCAGCGAGTGCAAACGGGAATACTTCATCTGAGATGCCACAGGGTCACCTGGTCCTCTATTTTTGTGGGTCCCCCCCACTTATTTTCTCTTCTCTTTCCTGTCTTTTAATTTAGGTATTCTCTTTCTCTCTTTCGCCATTAATTTTTCTGGAACACACCTGCATCCACCGAGAGCATTGATCTCCTTCACCCAGCTCAGGAGATCAGGTAGCTGTAGCTACTGTAGTCCACTGATATAGGCATCATTGTGAAAGTGAGCACTGGAGACACAGATTTCACTGCTGTCAACAGGGAAGAACACGTGTGTACATGTGCATATTTGATGTTTGTGGTTGAGTTTTTAAACTTCACTCTGCAGTTTCTCAGGCACTTGGTCTTGCCAGCTCCCTTTAGACTGGAGTTCTGCGGTGTTGGCCTTTAACAATTGTCTCCAACACGCTGCCCCATACCATATGGTAGGCGCTATGGCCTGAGAGGAGAAAAGTGGTAGGTGTGTGTGTGTGTGACAGAGACAGACAGAGTCAGGTCATCCTTTAAGCAAAGAGTCTATTAGGGAGCCCAATAGAGCAGGAGGGAATGAAGTAAATCCACCCAGAGAAAGCAATGTTTGTTCTTTTTAGGTCCTTGTGATAGGGTAGAGAGGTTGGGAGACATTATGACACAAAAGAAATTCTTCTAAAGCAGACATCATCTAACCAGTCTTAGAGACATTTATTATTTATTTTTTATTTTGCTTGTTTTTTCGTTCTGTTTTTTTTTTTTTTTTTTTTTTTTTTTTTTGTGGCTGAAACAGGTATTTGTAAAGTAGCCAGGACATTCTTTCCTAAGACACCAATTAAAGAGCAATGAGCTGAGTGAGTGTGAGACCCCTGGCAAGGCCACAGTCATATGTCCTGTCTTTAGTTCTCCATTTACGACTTAAATATCTGGAAAAATCTGACTCCATGTGGGCACAGGGAAACTTGGCTCCCTTGAGAGCTGTGGAGAGAGAGGGTCTATGTCTGTCTGATGTGGGAGCCCTTCATAACACCTGTGAAAACAAAGGGACTGTACTTAGAGAGCCTAGGTTATAAGAACACCCAGCTGGGGGACCCAGAGCAGAAGGAGACTCTTCTGGCCTGTTTGTTTTGGTAGCATTTTGCAAGCAAGCAGAGACATCTGTGTTAGTTTAATGTTGACACCATAAGTATCCACCGACTCCATTCATCACCCTTTCCATAGAGTTTCAGTACTTTCCAATATGGAATAACTGAGCATTTACTGAGTTATCTATGGAATAGCGAGCAGTTACTTTGTGCCTCTCTTGCTGTTCTGGTTTGAGTCATGGATTCAGTACCCTGAAACCAGGAAGCGTCAAGAAAGCTGTGAGGAAGTAGCTGCTCCCAGAACTTTACAACTGCCTTCTCTACTTTACTAGAACATGTTAGCTGGGTTATTCCTAAGATTGCTATATTGAAGAAAAAATATACATGTGTCTGTATTGTGGCAGCACAAACAGAATTCAAATAAAAGTCTAAATTGGTTCCATGAAAAATGTTTAGGCCCTCTTAGCTCATGGTGGAGGAGAACTGAGAAAAAAAAAAAAACATAAGGAAAAGAGGGGCAAGAAAGGTGAGAAATATCCGGCTGATTAATCCCCATCCATCCACTCCAGTAAAAACAGAATGTGCAGGGAAGCAGGAGTCACATTCTAGAACACATGTTACTAGTTCATTGACAACAGAGCTCTTTTCCACAAGGCAAGAGCCTGGCTTTTGTGTGTGACAGTGTGGCCACCTCTAGCTCAGGGGATTTGAGGGAAGCCCTTAGTTTCTGAATCACATCACATTTCCGAGTCTGCACCCATGTACACAAAGTTGCCTGTGCACTCACCTTCCTTGCCTAAATAAGGTAGTAATGCATCAGGCTTGGTGTTCTTTTGGTAGAAAAGCATATAGTTAATTCAAAAAGGCATCTCAAATTTATCCATGGTGTGTAATCCTTATCATTTTTTAACTCTGCCATTGGATCACCGTGGAATAAAGACAAGGGAAAAACAACCACCCAAACACTTTAGGACTTAGGAAATGCTAGAAGATCCTTTTCAGTTCTCTTTGGAGGGCAGACCTGATTTGCAAAGCAGTTGCCCTGACAGTCAGTAGGTCATCCATCTTAGAGAGTGTCCTACTTCTGATTGTTCAGCATTTCCCTGGACAAGAGGTACACAGTGAAGCCCTCACTGGCTTCATCCAGGTTCCCATCTGGACCTTTTCTTCCCTTGCAGAGCTACAGAGGTAAGGATTGGGTGAGGCATCACAATCCACAACTCTGAGATATTGTCCTAAATACAAGTTCTTTCCTTAAAATTTTCTATGAATTCTTACACACCCTTTTCCTCTTTTAGGATATTGCTATCCTTTTGCTAGTGAATTTATTTTAAAGCAATTATAACAAAGATGTCCTTTTTAATTTTTCTATCTTTAATATGACATATAATCATCTAATAAAATGAGAGGTACTGAAAGTCTATTTCCCTATTCCCTTCATTCCCTGTTCTCCAATTTCTACTTTTGGATTTTCTGGCTCTATAAATGTTGTATAAATCACCCTTTTGCTTGGCTGCATATTTCCCTGCCTCCAGAAATGAAAGTCATGCTGAAATTTAGCCCTAAGCACCTCTAGTAACAAAACAACAGGTAAGGGAGAGTAACCATGTCGGAACACTTTCTAACTGGAATCCTCAGAAGCACGCGCCATATTTTTCTGGCATGATGTGATTGGATAAACATGGAAGTACAAGACAAATCAGTATGTATGGTTCCCTCATCCACAAATATGTACTTAGAGATAATCATGTAGGGAAATGTGTGATGCCAGTCTCTGCCCTCTGCATAGCACACACTGGCTTCATCCCTGGATGTGCAGGCCATGCATACCAGGACACTGGGCATGTAGACCAAATGGTGGATGCATGCCGAGATGGTGTATTTTCATAAGTAGTCTCAGGGCAAAATCAGAATTTCTTCATAACCCCATAACACACACCAGGTGGAAAATCTAGCACTCTACATTCTACTATGCTGAATGCACATCACAGCTAGAAGCAGGAGTATGTTTCAGGGTTGGTGGCAATATCTGTTTGGTTTATGTAGTTTTTCAGTTGTCTTTTCCACTTTCAAACAATTACAACCTAAAACAAGAGTAAGAGTGTTCTAATCCTCCTTTAGCTGCCACTTCCCTTGATGGGATACAGGTTTTGTGATGCCTCCCAGTATATAATTATATACTACTCAGTCATTGATGCCTGCTGTTGACAAAAATAATTTGTGGAATATGGGCCTTTACAGTAAGACCAAAAACACCTGTGTAATATCCCATCCTAAGGTGCTGTTCCATTGATATTATTCCACTGAACAAATCTATTAATGTAAGCAACGGTATGGTTTCTTACCCTAAAAGACTTTTAGCAACAGTTGTGATATTCAGTTCATGCATAGGGTAGACTGCTGTGGTTTCTCCAAGAATTAGGCCAGGAAAATAGATATTTGTCATTTTCTGGATGTCTATTTCATAAATAGATTAGCTCATGTTCATCTGAAGAACTCTGGAGCTGATATTTTACAACTTTGTTTTCTTTAGAAATCAGAAGTGGCACTATCTCAAATCTCAACTTTTGTCAGAATCCTGACTGCCATATCATAGGAGAAGCAGGACCACAACTAAATGAGTATGCAGTTCTCTTTCCCGTATTCAGTCACAAGACATATGTAAAACATCTGACTCCCAAGTGTTGTTAGATATACAAATATTTACTGTCCCTGAGGACTTAAAGTGCAATCTTACAGCAACAAAAGTGCACACAGCACAAGGGAGCAGAGAGCAAGGACTAGGCACAGATAATTTGCAAACCACTTTCCAGAGAGTTCTAAAAGCCAACACATTTTTGGGCAATTCTTATAATTTTGTGTCTTATTTATTAATTCTAACAGAAATGATTGCTTTTTTTGTCTTCCTCAAACAAGGTAACTGATCATGCAGATGAACTTCTGTAGAGGGTGGTAAATGGGCTCTTTGGACAGAGAAAGAATAAAGGTCCCTGTATCTGATACACTTTCTTTAAAGAGGGTTTACTTGGTAGCCCTGGAAGGTCTGAGACTCTCTATTGTAAACTCACAGAGAACCACCTAATTCTGCCAAAGTGTGGACCACCATCCTGCCTATGTCAGATATTTGAAAGGGTGCTAAGTTCTCTATGTTCTCATGTCAGTTCCAGTTAAGACTTTCCACATATATGCCCTCTGTATATGGCAGACCTGTGTAAAGACTGGAGACAGAAAAGAGCAGTCTCCAATTCTGCCCCCCTCTGATTTCACTTTTTTGGTGGATATTCACTTATGGCCATGGCTCTTTTAGGTCTGCCTTAAGCTGGTTGGTATTCCGCCATTTTTAACACTCCTCATTCTGCCCTAAAGAACCATTTGACTATGTTTAGGTAAATCTCTGGGAACTAGAAATTATTTATTGAGTGAATAATTTATTGATGTGTTTTCCATCTAAATGAGGTCAAACTTCTGTGTTCTACATGAATGTTTCCAAACCTGAAGATCATGCATGCTCTCTCTCTGCACAATATCACCTCAATTAGAAGACTCACATTAAGAAGTTGTTTCATAACATCCACGTGGTATCCATGGACTTGGGCACCAAGCCTGGGGAACTCATGCTTGGTTTGTTTGTCTACCAACTGCTTCACTTCTTTTGAATTCCCTAGAGCTACAATCGTCAACCTTGCTGCACCAGCAGTCTGGCAAGAGGCTCTTGAGGCACCTCTATAATTCTGCCACTCATTAATTCCTGAAGCAATTGTTTGGGTTTGTTTTGTCCTCAACTGACCCAGAGGCCAAGTTTCAACTAAATAAATAAAGAAGCGATGTTGTACCTGTAAGTGGCAAAGGAGGTTAATGGAAGGATGGTATGGGCAAACTCAAACATGCTTGAGTTCTTGAAGCATGCCTGAGTGCTGTTTCATGTCTCTCATGCAGGTTGGAAATGTTTTCTTTAAAAGATGCACAGTGTATCTGAATCACTTCTTTACCAGTTTGGGGGGGCTTTCTTCACCTCTCTTCTGGCCTTACCCAGTCTTCCTGTAGTCATTTATTTTGAAAATGTTAGTTGTTATTCTTTCTCAGCTTTGTGTTCACAAATTCTAACCTAAAAGGGGAGAAGATAACACACACACACACACACACACACACACACACACACACACACACACACACACACACGAGTAAAAATGAATAGGGCTGTTCTTCAAACATTATCCAGGAAACTATATAACTATATGCATACCTACTTTGTAGGAAGAGAAAGTATGACCACTTTGTGTTGGAAATTCTTTAAATGACTTATACAGGGTTCTAATGATTGTTTTGCTATTTTTTAGTAATTTCAACCCTCTTATTTTGCACTAAGGTACTTGGGGGAGAGTGAGAAGCACGTGTAGTAGTGAAACAGTGTACTTTGTGAGCTAGTCCTCTGTCATTTGTGAAGTTTATTGTCTACAAAGTGGTGAAGTGGACACAAGCAGCTTAGGTAACAGTGGGCTTTTGTGTTAAACCAGATTTGATGGGAGCTTGTCAAGGAGGAAGAGGGTATTCATGGAGCAAGCAATGGCTGCTGGAGGCTAAAAGGGCCAGAGCTTCCACCATGAAGTAAGGATGGCTCCTCTCCCCACTTTCCTGGCTCCTAACTCAGGAGTCTCTTTCATGAATTTGTCTTATACCTTAGGAAGAGGCAATATTACAGGCCCTGCATGAGAAATGTGTTACTCATCTTTACACGGCATTTTCACCCTACCCCTGTGGTTTTCAAGTTTTATGTTTCACTAATACAGTCCAGGGATGCTTTGGAATTATCACCACAGTGATTTTAATCTGCCCAGGGGGAGCACCCAGATGACAGTTTAAAGTAAAATAAACTACGGACAAGATCCTCAGGTCCATTGCCCTTATTCAGATATGTTGTGGATGGAAGTCCTAAAATATTGGAGTCAGTCTAGTGGTCTTTCTTTTCCCTCCCGTGGTCTTACCATCCATTGGCATGTCATAATGATGGAAAGGCATGGTGCTTTCTATCACCCACAGAGTACACTTCAGAAAGCCACCACCTGATACTCTGAGAACACGCTTCCCTTGCTGCCACTCAGCACAGAAGTAAACCTTGCATCAAATAGCAGGTTAAAATTAGGAGGCTAGTCCCAAGTTATGAAAAAGGTAATGTGTGGCAGTGATTAAAGCCTGGTCTTATTTTCATTAGCATTAGACTATGCCATGCTTCAGATTCCAGCAGTAAATCTCAGAAGACATGAAAAGGCACTGGGTGTGCAGAACAGGCCTTCTGTCACCCTGAAGACCCTTGAATGGCCTCCCCAGATGGAGTCATTTTCATTACAACCTTACAGGAAAATGGGAATGGACCTCTGACTAGGTATACTTTCACATTATAGTCAGCCATATCCCAAAGGACGTATAGGAAGTAGCTTAATCTCTTCTCTTTGAACGGCAGCAGCCACCAGTGTAACCTTGTCCTGCCTTAAATATTCTTGCAAAAAAAGTAAGTAATCACACCTTGCTTAAAACAGTGTAGTTATATTATGAGAAGGACTTCATATTTGGTGAGGATCAATGTCAATAATTTTCTCCTTACCTTGTTAATAGACAGGCATTCCAATAGCCTATGTTGTCTTAAACAGGCACTTCCCACAGACAGCTAGACTATGGCAAGAAGATAAAACATAGGCAAATGAAGACACATGACACATTCTAATTATATCCTATAAAACAGTCGACAATTCACATTTGGTTCATGGGATTCCTAAATCCCTAAGGCAAAGAATTACCCTGTCCATTTCAACCTAGAAATTAGAACCTATCTGGCACTTTCTTGGAAAAATGAGAGGTCAGGGAGTTTGCCTTTAGCAAATAATTAACAAAGTATAAAAGGACCTCTCCTAATTTTATGTATATATATATATATATAATGTAATATATATTTATATATATATATATCATTCTTATATAGATATATGAATGATATATACAGGCTTTCTTTGAAAAAAGCACAACAGAGGCAAAGCAGACCATATCCTCGGGGATTAGCTAGAGACTCCTTGTTTCTTTGGTTATTATAGTTTTTGTTCCTGTGTCAGAATCCCAAGTTCCATGTAATGTTGCCTCATCTCAAGTCTGTTTTGTATACCATGTAACATGTCTTAATACACTGTATGGAGAAAGTTAAAGTTAGCCTTAGATTTCTTTGTTTTCTATGGTTTTTGCTGTACAGAAGAATGACTTACCTGTAAATATTGTATATTTAATAAAGAAAGAATTTTGTATCATTTTGTGTGGAACACAAATATGTCTTGCTGTGTTGTTCTTGGGTTAATGAGGAGTCAAGTAATTAATCCCTGAGTGCCCACTCTGATTTCTTAGATCATTAGCTCCTAGTCAACATGACCCAGGGAAAACAAAAAACGCCTACTCTCCAGGCTTATTGATTTCAGTGTAGCTCAAAGTAGTGTCTTGGGTTCTTTCATGCTTAACTGACTCATACCAAACTGCACAACAGGCACAAAAGTGCACATGAGCAACCTCACTGATTTGGTGAAAGAATCTTGGACCATCCTGACTCCAGTATCTCCCAGGAAACCTATGGCCCTGTTGATTCTTTCTCAGTGTCCACTCACAGCACCTGTATTTGTGTCTTACCTTGCCTACACTTCCTTCTTCTAGAGGACAGTTAATTACACAATAGCTCTATGTTTGAAAGAGCAGATGTACATTCTGATGGAGTAGATTTGTCTCTATATAGTGTTTATTTACCCTTGTGTTTATGAGTCATCTGGTGGACATAGACTTATCAATAAAAACTGAAGGTGATTTAATGGGCTGTGGATGTAGCTCAGTTGGTAAATGGCTTCATAGTATGTACAAACACCGTGGATTTGATCCTCAGCCCCAAACAAACAAGGCATGGTTGTACACCTATAATTGCAATATTCCTCGGGAAGTGAAGGCAATAGGATCAAAGGTCCAAGGTCATCTTTGGCTACATAGTGATCTTGAGGCCAGCTGGAGCTACACAAAACTGTCTCATTCAAGCAAACAAACTCCCTACAAGGAAATTTAGTCTGTCAGACAGGACAATTTACAATGTCCTTAAACTGCTCAGTCAAGAATGAGTTACAAAGAAAGAGGAAGGAATGAAAACAAAGGAGGAGATAAGATTTCTGAAGAATGTAGCATTGGGACAAGAGAAGTGAAGGAGATTCTAAGTGTATCTGAGCCTGGAAGGAATCAGTGCGGTTTGCTGATGGAAAGGCAGGAGAATGTGAAAGAAAACAGAATCCAGAGACTGAACATTTGAATTTCACAACAAATGGAGATGGTAAGAGTTTTCACTGCATTTATAGTGGGGAGAAAAATGGAAGCTGTTATTTGAGGGAAATGGGCTACATGAGGCTCCTTTCAAAATGTGCTTAGGCTCCTAATTAGAGACACTGAATAAAGAAAGTGGGGAAGAAGCAGATTAAGAAGTCAGCACAAAGGGATGAGTGCTACAGAGATTCACAGACCGAGGCTCAGAATTCCAGAATATAAGAAATGCATGAGTACAGAAGCCAGACAGACCCATCCTTTATATGCCATCCTTTAATATCCCAACGCCTAGTTTTGTGACTCAGAATTAGCACTGAAATCCCCAGTTTTGCTAGTAAAAATTGGAGAACAAAACCTAACCTTCACAGACCCTGAATACCAAATTAAATGATTTTTTTAGACCACTTAGCCAAATATATGCTCACTGAGGTCCTCCCATAGGCTACTTGACAATTACTTTGTGTGTATGTGTGTTTGTGAGGGAGGAAGGGAGAGAGAGAGAGAGAGAGAGAGAGAGAGAGAGAGAGAGAGAGAGAGAGAGAGAGAACATGTCTGTATCTCTCAACCGGTCATCACACTATTTTCTTGAGGCACATCATCTCACTGAATCCTGACTGTCCAGAGAGCCCCAGACATCTGCCGTCTCTGTCACTGTCTTTCCGGATATGGTTACAGGCAGGCTCTGCTGTCTAGCTTTTCCACCTGGGTGCTTGGGATAGAGCTCAGCTCCTTACAGTTGCATTGGAAGAGCTTCCCACTCCAGTCACTGCTGCAGCCTGCTGTTATTTTATAATTTTTAGAAAGCACGTGATGTGTGCCACAGAGAAGTGGACTCCTGGATGCACATGGAAGACATCCCTGCTCAGTGATATTAGTAAGTGAGTGATGTGGGAAACAGCATCTGCACTCGGTTTTGGCTATTAGAGTTTAACCTAGTAATCTTGAATAAATATAGTTTGCATATCATCTGTAGAAATGTATTGAGATATTCTGCTTGAAAGTGATGACATGATTCTAAATACTGGGAAAAAATGATCTTAAAAGAAACATCTGCAGTAACTTTCAATATTAATTAATTGACCTCACAGGCTTCTGGCAAGGCAGTTGTGGCATCAGATTTCAATCCTTTTAGGTTGCTGAGAGACAGTAAGCAAATGCATCTCTTCTCATCCGGAGGTTCATTTCCTCAGCACACAAATGTTGTTGGTTGTTTTTCACTCTTTTGGGAGACCCACCACCGAGCTCCCAAATGAATCACACATGAAGGCTTATTCTTACTTATAAATATCCAGCCTTAGCTTGGCTTGTTTCTAGCCAGCTTTTCTTAACTTATCCCATTTATCTTTTGTCTGTGGGACTTTATCTTTCACTATTCCTGTATACCTTTTCTTTCCTTCTTGCTCCATGTCTGACTGTGTGGCTGGGTGACTGGCCCCTGCTGTCCTCCTCCTTCTCTCGCTCTTTCTTCTGCCCTCCTCCCAGATTTCTCCTTCTGTTTCTCTGCTCTGCCTTCCAGTCCACCCTATCCTTTCTACTGCCTCACTATTGGCCGCTCGGGTTTTTATTAAACCATCGGGTGTTTCAGACAGGCACGGTAACACAGCTTTACAGAGTTAAGCAAATGCGACATAAACAAAAGTAACACACCTTAAAATAATATTCCCCAACATACAAAGGATTTTTAAAACTATTTTCATGCATTCAAAAAAATTTGAGTTTCCTTCTTATATTTTTGGTGGCTTAATCACGGTCGCTTAAAGAATGAAATAGGTTAGTGAAAGATTATGTGAGATGGAATCCACTTTTACATGTGTCTGCATCTGCTTTAAGATAACAGAATGAAAAAGAAAAAGAAACCTGTGTATGTGTGTGTGTGTGTGTGTGTGTGTGTGTGTGTGTGTGTGTATTCACAGGTATTCAGATGTATGGGTGTATATGTGAATGAAGAATAGGAAAAAATGTCAGGTGATGATGATGTTCTTTAGGAACCATGTACTTTGATATATTAGAGACAGGGTCCCTCACTGGCCTGGAGCTTACCTCATTGACTGGGAATGAGCCTGCAACCTCTTGAGAGCTGCCCAAAGAATTAATAGGAACAGACAGAATATCAGGAGGAAAACTTTCAAAATACAAATCCCAAGGTGCTGTAATGAGTTCTCACAAACCCTTCAGCTGACTGGCTTATTTTCCCCCCTAACTGGTTTATGAACCACAAAGGTTCATTGTTGTTCATTTGTTGTTGTTTTCTGTCACAGTTCTGGATATTGGCAGTCTAAGAGGAAGGTGCCAGGATGACCAGGCTCTTATCAAACTCCTAAGAAAGAGCGTTTGCCCAGCATGCACTGCAACAAGGCCTGGGTTAGATCTCCAGCATATTTTAAAAATGGATGTGGTGGTGTATACCTGAAATACCAGTCCTCAGGTGGTAGAGGAAGGAAGATTAGAAGTTGAAGGTCATCCTTGGCTACATAGCAAGTTCAAAGCCAGCTTTTGCTATGTCAGAACCTGTTTCAAAGATAAAATAAAGGAAAAATAAAGTTGTGCTCATATTCCACCTTTACATGGTAAAAAGGGAAGTTTTGTCCTTTGTAAGTGTGGGAATTTCATTCATGGAGACTGCACCCTCACCATCTAATCACCTAAGATCCATCTTCTGAATGACATTTCTTCGTTAGCATTTCAGAGCAAGTTTTTGTGGAGAACACTAGATTTAGTCTCTTACCAACCGAGTATTAAGTTATTTTTCATGGTGGCTCATGAAAGGAATTTCCCTGGGCCAAACCTTGATCAGGTACCTGCTCTCGCAATGTCTACTCAGAGCCAAAGATGAGGTTGCTGAGCTCCCAGATACGCAGCAGCTCTGGATGAGCTCTCTGACGCCGGAATGTCAGGCTGCAGAGAGGCAAATCTCTCTGAGTGCAGCATCCACCCCAGGGGAGGAACTATGAGCACTCATGACAGTGCTGACTAGTCAGAAAGGGAAATCTGTCTCAGCTATGGTCTCCCAGGAACTTCGACTGCTCAAAAGGCCCTTTGAGAATTCAAGCCTGTCTGAGGATCTATCTATCTGCCTTTCAGAAGAGTGAAGTGAAAATGGCATTGGCAGAAAGTGGACAAGCACCTCTTTTCATAAGTAAGCACAGCGCCTTTCTTTGCTCACCCTCTGGTTTAGAGAATCTAACACCTGTGCTTGCCTCCCAGGGCTCATGGTTGCAATTGAAATTCTTTTTTAAGGCTAACTGATTCTACTCCCATGACATAGTTAGAGTAGTCAAAATCAGGGAGACCGAGAGTACAAGGGCAATTGCTTGAGGCTGCATGGAAAGGAGAATGGAGAATTATTATCTATTTGATAGGCACAGATGTTCAGTTTAGAGAGAAGAAAAAAACATTGTGGAGGCAGGAGGTGGCTGAAGAACAATGCTATATATCTCTGAACTGAACACTTAAAATAATGAATTTTGTTTTATACATTTTATCATAACAAAAAATGGGAGTAGAGTACTGAAATGAATCAAATATTGTCTTGATGGGCTATAGTGGTTTATTAGAAGGCAGGGGAGATGACTAAGCTCACAGAGTACTTACAAAACTGAGTTCAATCCTATTAAAGAAAAAAAGCCAGGCAGAGTGGCATGCTCTTATAATCCTAGCACCCAGGAACCAGGGACAGGGAGATCCCTTTGCTTTGTTGGTCAGCCTGTTTAGAGAAATCTATGAGTTCTCTCTAGGTCAGTGAGAAACCCTGCATCAAAAAAGGTCTATATGGCTTCTGAGGAATGATAATAAAGGTTGACTCTTAGGACCTACCTGTAATCTCACACACACACACACACACACACACACACACACACACACACACACTCACATCTCATACATACACATACCATACATGTACTCACGCATGCATACACACACACACACACACACACACACACACACACACACACTCACTCAC